TCTCGTTCTGCAAGAAGGCCGCCAGCGACCGCAATGTGAGATTCGCGCGCCGATAGGTTTTTATGCGCCTCCTCAACCTCCGAGTTAAGCTGAGCGTTTCGATTCTGCACGTCCGCGACGGCGTTAGCGTAATCAAAATTCAGGCGCTCCCTTTCAGCAGTGATGAGCCATTGTTGGTGCCCCAACTCCCGGGCTGCCCCCATAGCGGGCAGGAGCGCTTGTGTCTCGAAATTAGGGATCTGAGGCGCCCGGAGATTCGCAATATGTCCAATAAGAGTAGAATCCTGTCATGCTTTAGAGATAAGTCCATGGAACAAGCATAAGCCTGTCGATGATGCGGCCACAGTTAACGTCTCGTCCGACATCTGGTTACCATTAATGAACGTCATCTGCACCTGGGTCTCGCCACATTGGCACACCATTTCCCAGAGACGGGAGCCAATATTACACCACTCGGAGGGTGTGCAGGGAAACAAAGCCATTTCCTTAAACTTACCTGGCTGTGTTTCTGTAAAAAATAAAAACAAATATTATCTGGCCTCTATCGGCTCCCTGCCCCTACAAAGTCGCGTTCCTCCCAAAAGATTCATACGGCAGAAAGTATCATAAAGAAAAGCATTCATTTATCAGGATATAAACATACATTAATTAAGTTAGCCAGCTCTCCCGCGATCATTCTTTTCACAAGCTCCTATAAACAGTAAAAAAGTTCCGCAAGAAGACGCTGGAGCGACAGCACCCACGCACGGGTTCATAATCACGTGCCCTGACCCGCCAAGAGCAGAAAAACAAAAGAAATAGAAAAGGGAAAAATAAAATACAACAAACAACACGGAGGAAGGATTTTTGTTTTTTGTTTTTTTTGTAGTTGAGAAGGGAATCAAACAATTTGTTCAGCGGTTCACAAACATAAAGCCTTGCACCGCTCTCCTGTTATTGTCAGGGAACTAATATGACTTACGCATCAAAAAAGATCTTCGGATGGCTCTGACCTCAACATGCTTTCATTGTTAAACGAACGCCTTCTTTTGAGCTCAACCTCCGTGAGGTACACCCGCATTGCCGGCTCCGTCACACACTTTGATTCTCGATCCGAAAGAAAACGGATGGCATTCGCCATGCTTCCTTCCTGCAAGTTCATCCTTTTCTCAAAGGGCACCAACACATCTTTATGAAGGCAGCTAAATACAAATTCCCGAGTTTTCTCTGCCGGTCGGAGAAATTGCGCCTCGACAACCTTCTGCAGTTCCCGCAACTCGGGAAACCACGGTGAGGTGGAATACATGTGCAATGAAAGGCCTTCCGGTCGGATGTGTCGTCGTGCGTATAAAGCCGTAGAGTTGATGCTGCTTTTACTGCAAAAAGGACGCAACGCAAGTAGACTGCGATTTGTCACTCCGCCACCGCTGCGACTGCCTCCAAACGCATTGTCTACGTTGCACTCTACACCCTGCTGTTCCTCCGCAACGATCATGGCGGCTGTCCTGAGATTTGCATGCGCCACGGAGCTCAGTTCCGCTCTAAACTGCACATGACGAAGGTGACGGTAGTATGTAAGGTAGACAAACAGGGAATTCAGAAACGCACAGCTGGGCAACACAAAGAGTATGTAAAGTTGCTGCCGCACCCAGTGATTCGGGGGGCTATCGGGAAACATGCCACCGGCTGGATTTGGTCCAAGCGACTCGCCGGGATGTTCATCGGGGTTGTATATGTACAGCGGAGGCACCACCGTCACCAAGAGCAGGACGGTGAACACTATGGTGTGAGCAATCATAAACCACGGAAACATTTTGAAAGAAAATATAATATACCTGCAGCATGAATCCCAAGGCCCATAAAGAAATATATAAAAAAAAAAGAAAAAAGAATACACGCATCATCGCTAAACATATACACGCATTCAAATAAAAAAAAAAAAAATAATAATAATAACAGCACTAGGAAAAACTTATGAGGGACTTTTGTTTGTTTTGATTCCCTGCGCCTTCTTTATTCCCAAATACCCCCACCCTTCACTACACCGGCAACATCACCTCATCATCAAATGTGGGGTAGTGGACACCGTCGCAGCTGGAGGATCGAAGCGTTGGAAGTGCAAGCCATAGCAGAAGTGCCACCTTCATCATCGTGCCGCCCTTTTTGGCCTGATTGAGCACCGGATCATCGTTCGTCTCTAAAAGTGTCAGTAAATTGCGCCAACGACCAAGATCATACGGGTTACGAAATGGCACCATACTGTTTCGTAACAGGCGCTCCTTGTTCCCCACAATAACTCGCTCAATTTGTGTCTCGTTTTTCAAGATGTGAAGCCCACTCCATACAATAAAAAAAATCATGCACGCAAATATTGTACCACACAAAGCAAACGTCAAGTAAAGGGGAAAACTACGAAGACGGTAGCCGCAAGGGCCATATATACTGCCCTTGGCTTCACCGTGCCACCATAGCCGCACGTACGCCATTAAAAGCAGAAAAAAAGCAATCCCTGTTGAAAAAAAAAGGTAAACAATAAGAAGAAAAAAGTAACGGTGATTTTCGGCATCGACGCAATTATTAATCCAAGGACAGTGGTGGTCCATCTTCGCTACACATCGGTTACACACCCTGCAATGATGCTCTCGTGGAGCCTTGTAACGTCGGCACGAATTGCAGTAACGTGAGGGTTCATCCAACAATCGATGCCGTTTTTGTGGCGAAAGTAAATTTCCTTCAATCGCCAGTCGCATCGTCTCCTCCGCATCTACGCAAGGACTATTAAACGACGCAGCTGCCACGTAGTTGAATAGCGTGGTAAACGACAATACACTACAAGTAATCCACAATAAGAAGAAATACGGGGTTCCCGGTGTTGCCAAAAGCGGCAGGGCGATGCGGGAGATTGTCACCGTACATCCAACTATCAGCGAGATTCCAAAGAAGAGGGTGACAATACCACCCAACTGCAGTCCTATGTAAATAAACGAGCCACGAGAACTAAAGAACTTCACAATTGGCGGAATCAACGACCCCATATACTTCAAGAAAGAATAATCTTCCGGGCAGCTGGCCGGATCCTGAAATTATCTATGGAACCAAACAAGTTAAGAAAAAAGGTTCGTTAGTTAATTGTTTGAACGTTTTTTCATCCAATATATATGGAATTCTATTGACCATTTGCATGGTATTTTGTCCTCAGCTAGGATTTGAATTTATTACTTACGAAGTGGCAGACTTTGGGGTCCTCCAACCACAAGACCCCGCCGCGTGGTGGGAATAAACAGGAGGTGGGTGGGATGGCAAAATAAAAACAAATATTATCTGGCCTCTATCGGCTCCCTGCCCCTACAAATTCGTATTCTTCCCAAAAGATTCATACGGTAGAGAGTATCATAAAGAATGCCTTCATTTATCAGGATATAAACATACATTAATTAAGTTGGCCAGCTCTCCCACGATCATTCTTTTCACAAGCTCCTAAAAAAAAGAAAAAAAAAAAAGGTGCAAAAGCAACACCACAAGAAGAAAATGACAGGGGAGAAAAAAACGGACCTTAATATTAAATACAATGCACACACACACACACACATAACGGCGTTCAACCCACCCTCTTCATTTTTCTTTTCTCTCGCTCATTTATTATTATTATTTTTCCTTTGCCAAAAGGTGTGCCAAAACCCCCCATACCGCCAGGGAAATGGTGCTCATTGATCGTCCTGTCCGTGGCTGTTCATGTGTCTTCCCTCAGCCCTCTGTGCGCTCCGACTACGTGAGAGGCGCTGCGAAGGCGCACGCTTAGGCGGATCCCTTGACTTGTGCTTAGCTCTCAAACGCCGGATGTACTCTCGCATGCGTGAATACTTCTCGCAACCTAGGTGGAAGAGGTACTCGTAGGGATAGATACCACCAGAGTGACCATCTGAAAAAACGATACGGAGGGCATAATTGCCAACAGGAATAACATCTGTAATGGTGATGCCACGACGTCCATAAATAAGGACGTCAGAGCCAATGACATCTGTGCTCGGAGAATACGCCCGCAGAAATTCCGCAAGAAAGCGCGTGCGGTGTTCTTCAAGAGGTCTCCTCTGACTTAAACCACTGCTTACCGTTCTTGCAGGTGATTCCATGGCGTGGTGCAGAGCCGCATCATTACCATCATCATCCCCATCTGCGGCGGCACCCTTCACTGTATGTGCCATTGTTTCTTTTTGGTTTTCCACAGCACGGAGTGCGGCCGAGGGCCAGACAAGCTCGATGTAAAGTTTTTCTTTTGATACGATAACCTGCAAGGGTACGAGATGCGCCCGCAGACTCCGCTGCAACGTGAGCCGTTCCGCAAGATTCTCCTGCATGGAGACCCGCCGCGGGTATGGGCGACGTGGCTCCGTGATGCATTGCTCGCTGAGTGGCATGAAATGCGTGTCCGCCAATGACGACACATGCGACGTCACCGTAGAGCTGAAGCGGCTAATAATAGACGTGAAGCGTCGCTGCTGCTCAAGCAACGGTCTCATCATTGACGGTTGCAAGCAGAAAGTAGACGACATCCGTCCACGAAACGTATGACTGATAAAAAACAATTCCGTAAGCCGCGTATACATTTAAAATTATTTTCTGTTTTTATTGCAGCTCCTTCCCTCCACCGTTACTTCGGTAAATGCACTACACGTGTGTGTATTGACAGACACATCACACCCTTGAGGAGGGGACAATACAGCATCAAGAAACACATCGCATCGGCGTATATAATGGAATGTCAACAACATACATATATACGCAAGATAGAAAAAGAAAAAAAAAAAAGAGCTACCCCTGTATGTACGTATAAAAATATATATGCCTTACTCAACCTTCCATTTCGACGCTGTCCACCAGTCATGGTTTCTCCCACCATCAACGGCATTTTTCTCTCTCCCTCTCTTTTCTTTTTCAGCGGGGATCCTCCTCCTCTTCCCAATTCAATCATGCACCCACCCATACAACGTAAGGACAAACAGACTGCATCAAAGTACACAACATCATTTGCCCCACAGTTTCCATGTGCGCTCCTTTAGTCCAGGCACACGCTTCGGATAACGCACCGCATCCTCCTCCGAGGTGCCCCACAATCGCCTCCGCCGCAAGATGTAGTCGTACCAGCGATCGCCCATCCACCGCGGGAGCATGTAGTATAGGCAGCAAAAGAGTGTACGCAGCAACCATCGATCCAGCTTCATCCCAATACGGCATACCGCCTCGTATTTCACAGATACAACAATGTCCACATCCTCCTCCACAACATCAAAACCGCCCGCGAGCCCTCTTGGGGTTGTTACACTGGACGAGGCAAGAGGAAAAGAAAAAATGTTCGTTTGAAAGAAATTCTTCAGGCCTCTTTTCTCTTCACTGCTGTTCATGCCGCCTGTTCCTCCCTGTTGACGTCGCGGTTTTTGTCCTTGTCTTACGCGACTTAAAAAGGAGGCCGTTTTTGATGGCACCTTCTCAATCAGCACGACACCGTCCGCATCATTTAAAAGATGTGGGAAGTTGCGGCGCACCTCACGCCACTCAACGGAGTCAAAACTGCAAAACAACATTTTGTTCGCCTCCAGTTTCACCGGATCAATGCCCTGCATGATACGAATGAAACTAAAGTACGAGAAATTGCGTTCCAACACGTGCCGCACACGTGCCTGACACATAAGACAGTGCCCATCGAATACCACAAGATTCCGTGGGAGTTTGCGCAAAATATTTTGATACGACCGCCCGCGGTAAAGTTGTGACATGAACACGTCGACTCCACGCCGAACAACAACAACAACAACAACAACAAAAGAGCGGCGGAAAGGGAGGCACAACACCCAAGCCACGCAGATACAACACAGTACTACCCTCATTTCACAAGAAACCAAGAAGCAAAAAACAACAACAACATCAAAGGTATAACAGAGGTCATCATTCACCATCAAAGGCAGCAACAATAAACCACGTCAATCGTTACAATAAGATATCATCAACCATAAAAAAAAAAAAAAACATATGATTATTAAAGACGTACACTTGCAATACCAATTCGCTCGCAATCCTTCTCACCTTCTTCGGTTCAATTGGCGTCATGCCCCCTTTTGCTCCGTCACGGTGAAAGCGTTCCCCTCTCCACAAACACACACATACAAAAATAATAATAATAATAATACACACAAAAACACAGAACCTCTCGTTAAGAAAAGTACTTTTGTTCCCCTTGTCCCACCACCGCTGGCACCACCATTAACCACAGAAACCACCTATGCACAACAAGCCATTCTCCCCTCTTTACCCATTAGAACTTCCCTCCCTTCACAAAACGCTTAAAATCATTTTCTGGGCCACTGGGCAAATCCTGAGTTTCTCAATGATAAAAAAACAAACAAGATAGGAATAAGAAAAGAGATAAATGAAATAAGAATGAATTCACAATATCCCCCAAGCTTAACACCAAGTAAGTATATATGTATATATATCATGCATGTATGTACATATATATAGTTAATTGGTGCTACACTTTGGGGTTCTCCAGCCAAAAGACCCCGCCGCGTGGTGAGGATCAAAAGGGGGTGGGAAAAAAGGTAAAAAATAAAAATAAAAATAAAAATTTGCCTGGCCGCCATCGGTTCCCTACTCCTCCCCCCTAAAGTCGTTTTATTCCCAACAATTCATACGGTAGAAAAGTGTCATAAAGAAATGTATTCGTTCTATCAGGATATATATATATATATATATATATACATTAATTAAGTTAGCCAGTACTCCAGTAATTATTCTCTTCACAAGCTCCTAGTAATAATAAAAACAACAACAACAAAAACAATATCAAAAATATGCAGTTGAATGAGGCCCTGTCCTCCTACTTTCCCCCCCAAAAAAAGGCGAGGACAATGAGAGGTTGCAGTTTTGGTTTAATGCACAACGCCATACCCCCAAAACTTCGGAAGGGAGTTCGCCCCTCACTCATATACCAGAACGCAAACCTATGCATCCAAATGGAATAGTTGAAGATAAGTAGAGTCGCTGTGAACTCTCCCTCCGCGTAAAGGGCAGTGGTGGTAAATGAAGAGAGGGAGGAAAACAAAGCCGCTCTCGCTGCCTTGCAATGCGGTGCCGTTGGAGATAAATCCCAATTAATATATAAAAAAAAGAAGAGGTTCAAAATGCATTGCCATCCGACCAAATGCTCCCCCCCCCCCCCTCCTTCTTCTTCTGAGCGTACGTCCCCTCCAAAGCGTCCAATAAAAACAAACAAACAAACAAAAAAAAAAAAAAAAAAGGAAAATGCTCTCAACGTCTTGATTCTTTTTCATTATTATTTTTTTCTCCTCCCATTTCGTTGGTAAATTTGATACCTCCCCCAGGTGCACAAACCGGCGGATAGGAAGGATAGACAAAACCCAAGAAGAGTAATAAAATTAATAATAATAATAATAATAATAATAATAATAATAAAAGCAGCTTCAAATTATAAGTCCCTCCATACTTTTTATCGCCCTTCTCTTTTCCTTTATTCCCGTTTTATGCATGCGTCTTGGGCTCGTAAAGTTATGTTTCATCACATGTTGTATTCTTTCTTGTTTCGTTCGTAGTGCTCCTCCAATTCCTTTTGCGCCTGATGCATCTCTGGTGTCATTTCCTTGTACACATCGTCATGCATCGAAGATACCGGCCACTTGGGCAATTTCTCCTGCCTGTGCAGCTCCGCAAGCGTTTCTTGCCGCACTTTCTGACTCAAACTCCGCGACTGCTCGGGAGTCCATAGCAACTTTCTTTCCAAATACTTTTCAAACCGGGCAACTGGTAAAAAGAGATTTGAAAACACTTCCACTTCGTCCCGTGAACGGTACCATGTACTGTCGTCAGAGGAAGAGTGATGGGAGCTACGATATAGCAGGGCTTCCACGAGAACAGGCTGATTCGTCGTGCGAATAAGTTCACGTGCCTTGCGTACCGTTTGAAATACCGCCAAAATGTCATTTCCATCCACACGGGCGCAGGGAATGCCGTAACCGATGCCCCGAGCAAAAACACCATCGCCAGCGTACTGTGAAGACGACGGTGTAGAGATGGCGTAGCCGTTGTTACGTATCAAAAAAAGTGTGTTGGATTTCATCGTTGCGGCCATGTTAACCCCAGCGTGAAAGTCCCCCTGGCTGGCAGAACCTTCGCCAACAAAAGCGGCACAAATACGTTTCTTGTTGGGATCCGTCTCACGTTCGTTTTCAAGACGACAAACATATCCAGCACCAGCAGCATGTGGAATTTGAGTAGCCACTGGAGAGCTGATCATATGAACATTGAGCGCGCGTGAACCATAGTGGATAGGCATTTGTCGACCTTTAAGTTCATTCTCAATGGTGCCCATACATTGCGCTACCATATCCTTCACCGTGTATCCGCGGTACGTAAGAGCAGCCGCCTCCCTATACTGCAAAAATAGTTCGTCACGCATATCCAATGCCGCGGCGGTGCCCACCGCAGAGGCTTCCTCACCCATACTTGTCATATAAAATGAAATACGCCCCTGACGCTGTGCCTCCATCAAAATAAGGTCAATACTCTGCTGACGCAACATTGCTTCCATCATTTTAATCAGCGTCTCTTTGGGTACCTCTGGTTCCTGCTTCGGGTTTACTACTCTCCCATCGAGGTCCAGCACATGGAACATTGGCGTGGATGGATACTTTCGCTGATGAAATGTGAGTTCGTCCACTGTCGGGGTGCCTCCAAAGTCCAGATTCCACACCGATTGCGCCTTCATAAGAGCTTCCTGCAGCGCGCGGCAAAGAGGCCGAGGGGTACGAAAGAGCCCACCGGAATGCATAACTGCGTGCGATGACTTGCGAAACATAGCCCTTGAATTTTAATTTCAACCCTCTCACCGAGAAGTAGAGCCTCTTATTCTAAAAAAAGGAGCAACAAGAAACCAAAAAAAAAAAAAAAAAAAAAAAAAGAGAGAGAGAGAGGGAGAGAAAGAGAGTCAAGCGATACGTCTATAAAAAAAGTATTCCAATGGAGGTTCACGCAGTCCACAACGGTAGCAGCAGATGAAGGGGGTCTTCAACCCCCCAACCTTTGTTGTTGTTGTTGGCTCTCGTCGTCGCTGTTGCCGCCACTGCTACCATCGCGGCTCAGATAGGATGACTAAAAAATAAATTGCATCAGTACGTTCTATACATCAAAAAATGAAACAAACAAACAAAAAGCAAAAAAAAGTGGCGAGGTAAATTCGTTGTGGCTGACTCATTCGTACCGCTTGATACCACTCACTCTTTGCTTTGGAGAACCTCCCCCTTGTTATTTTTCCTTTTTTCTTTTTTTTGTTTGTTTGTTTGTGAGTGTGGGATTGTGTGTTTGCATGTTGACTCTACGCCTCCGTTAGATCATCGTCGTAGTAGAGGTGTAACGCCGGGATGTAGAAATCCGCGTTCAATCCTAGAGACTCAAACTCCTCAGACTCATCGACAATGCCATTTTCATCCAGCGTCTTCGTCATGTCAAGGTCGCGCCCATCCGGGTCATGACGACGCCAGGTGTAGCTCAGTGCGTGTGCATTATATTTGAGGAATCTGGTATTGACAATCTCAAACAAAGTCTCCTCGGCGCACACCTCAAGTGTGTGTTCTGCACCATTAAGAGTGTTGATGATACGTATCTTGCGTGTCTTGCGGGTGAGGTTGCCAATGACGTATTGCTCGTCTTTCCACCACGGCACCTCGTAGCTAAGGTCAATGTTGCTATCCGGAAGAACGGTGGGTATGTGGGCAAAACGACCAAACGGTTGAGCGTACGTACGAAATCCTGTCTCGGGGTCGATGCATGTCTTCAGGTCCATCGTGTTCTTGTCATACCAGTGGGAGATGTCGGTGCCGGCGGCGCGAATGAGTGGCTGCACAAGGCTGGCAAAACGCGTGCCTTGGTACCGCTGAATAAGCGGAGTAATGTCTAGAACTTTGCCGTTGGCGGAGATGAATGCGTCATCCTCAAAGCAGTGGGCACGGACCTCCTTTGGAGTGTAGTAGCGCGGCATTGCTCTGCGGGGATCACACACAAACACACTCTCCCTTCGTTCACTTTCAAAAGCCCTCCTTTTTTTTTCCTTTTATTTATAAAAGTTTTTCCTCTCAAAAGAAGGTCTCTGCGTGTGGGAGCGTCCCTTCGCGGCAAAGAAGTCCTTTCCGCCCAAAAGAAAGCAGCAAAATCACGCCACCACAGCCACTCCCCCCAGTCTTTGTTCCCCTCGTATTCTTTTTTTTCTGTCTTTGGTTCAGTGATGATGGTGACAACACGTCGGAGGTACTCCCGTTGGCGTGTTCGCTGGATGCCACGCAAGACGGCTATGCGTCCCCGCCACCGTTGCCGCGGAACCTTCTCCCTCCTAACTTCCCCCCCTCCCCTTGCAGTCGGAGAACTCCAAAATGGATGATGCACGCACGCAAAAGGAGAAAAAAAAAAAAATATTTAATTTCCTTCCCCTTTTTGACCCTTCGTGTTTCCGTACGAGTGTGTGTGTGTATGGTAAACATCCATGAGCACGAGGAGAAAAACAAACCGGAAAAATAATAATAATAATAATTAAAAATAATATATACATATATATAAAGGGATGTAAATAGACATTCAAAGAGATAACACCACAACTCTCCTTCCCTCTTTCATTGCTTTACTGCACCAAACTGCAATATATATATAAAGAAAAATGGATTTATTTATTTATTTTGGATATATATGTATGTATATAATATTACCAAAAGAAAAATAATAATAATAATAAAAGACAACAGAACTTAGCAACAATTATTTTTTATTTTTTGTAATTTTTCTCCAACACATTTATTGTGTATCCACAAGGTTGAGTGTTTAAAAAAACTCTTTTATTTATTTATTTTTTTTTCACTCCTTCACACATCGTCGCATCGCCTCCTTCAAGAAGTTAAAAGGATAGAGGCAGCCCAGCCACCGTCATTAATTACTGCTGTGGTTGCCTTTACTTCTCCCTCATGCCCTTTTAAAAGTCTGGCGTCGTAGCTATAAAACACTCGCTTTTCTTCATCATTCACACATCGACGCAGACGCAGTTGCAAACGGTCATCTGCTTCCACCTCCAACACGTCTCGTGGTTCAACGGCAAAGAAACACGGAAACCAACTAAACATCTCGGGAGTCCGTTCCTCAGGTGTGGTTGAAAGAGTCGTTGAAATATCAACATTCCCCACATTATCCGCACCACAATTTGATTTGGAAGCAAACAATACGGCTGTAAAGTACCCAATGAAGCCACTGCAACGACCAGCGGTGTTCATGCGAAAGGTGAGCAAAGCTTCCCGCTCCTTCTGGAAATCCTTACCTGTAAAGTGCTGAAAGGTCCAACAAGGCTGCGGTGTAGATAAGGAGACGCCACGACACAAATCCGTAACAAACATGGAGTGAAATATCGCTGCACGACGGTCATGGCACCATGGCAACAACACCGTGAGTCCCGAGACAGCTGTGTCTGCAAGAGACTCCTCCATCCGTCCTGAATACAATGGGGCAATCCAGGCAGTGTACTCTTGTGGAATGGAGACCATGTGTGAGTTCGGCGGAATTCCCATCGAGTTCTGGTAGCGTCGAAAATCCTCATAAAACCCGTCTATGCACTCTGGGCTAAGTTCATTGTCACCGAAGCTTCCCAGTAGTTCCGACACAACCAAGTCACACAAACCCCAAAGCTTCGGCAGAGGCCCTTCTATCGTCGCCGTCACTGCTCGTCCATCTGCGCACATGGTCTCTACCAAATGGCCGCAAGCACTTATATTATAACGCCATTGGGGATCTGAACGCAATCGAAGACAAATAAACTCCATCGCCTCAGGGTTCTTTTCCACCGCAAACAAATGAACACGAACACCAATGGAAGAAGCAGCGGCCAAACATTCTGCAATTAAGGGACCTCGGCCAGCACCCAAGAGAACCACGTACGCAACATCCATTTTGTCACCTTCTGTGTTCTTCAGATATTTACTGCACAGTCTCCCGTGTCCACGTTCGTCATGTGCTCTAACCATTCACGGAACGTA